GATTGAAAGACAGTTTGGTAGAAAAGTCAAGTTCATAAGGTCTGACAATGCTTTAAAATTAGGGAAAGGGATTCAAGAAGGTCTATACCTAATATCACAGGGAATTCTACAGCAAACATCATGTGTAGGAACTCCACAACAAAATGGAGTACTAGAACGAAAGCATAGACATTTTCTAGAACTTGCAAGAGCTCTTATGTTTCAATCTCATTTGCCTATTTCCTATTGGGGTGACAGTATCTTGACAACAACACACATCATCAATAGATGACCTTCTAGGGTACTCAAAGGAAAGACTCCTTATGAGGTTCTTTTTGGGAAGGAACCATCTTATCACAACCTAAAGTGTTTTGGATGTCTTTGTTATGCATCACTCTTTCCCAAAACAGAGCTAAGTTCGAACCTAGGGGTGCAACTTGTGTGTTTTTGGGATACCCTCTAGGAAAGAAAGGTTACAAGTTGGTTGACCTAAAAACAAAAAGAGTTTTTGTCTCAAGAGATGTTCATTTTTTTGAAAATCAATTCCCTTTTGCCTCTCAATCACCCACTTCTCCACCATTTTTTCCAAATTCCCATTCTGATTTATGTGATCCTCAATCTATGACTTCTTCTCCAGATATTCCAAAAGCCACAAATTCCTCCATTTCAATGAATACAGGATCTCATTTGCAAGGGTATCCTCCTCTTGTATCTCATACTTCTCCTAATCCTTCTATTGTTCCAAATGAACCCACCAGGAAGTCCACTAGGATTGTCATCGACTAGGGTATCTTTCTGACTATGTATGTAACAACATATATCTCACTGGCCTTACCAATGCTCGTTTTGTCCATCCACCTATACCCACTGCCAATTCTTTTGGCTCTTTATCACTTCACAATCAACATGTTTTTCTTTCTATTTCTAATATAACTGAGCCTAAAAATTTTAGTCAAGCCTCTCCTCACCATGGGTGGATCTTTTCGATGAATGAGGAACTGGCTGCTCTTGACTATAATCACACTTGGGACTTGGTAGAGTTGCCCCCTGATAAGAAACCTCTACCTTGTAAGTGGATTTACAAGGTTAAGCATAAATCTGATGGTACACTAGAGAGGCTGAAGGCCAGACTAGTCGTAAGAGGGGATGTTCAAAGAGAAAGAGTGGATTTTACTGAGACATTCTCACCAGTGGTCAAGAGTGACCACCAGTAGATGTCTCCTCACTGTTGCTATTAAGAAAGGGTGGTTTGTACATCAGTTGGATGTAAGTAATGCATTTTTACATGGGGACTTACAAGAAGAAGTGTACATGAAGCTCCCTACTGGTATGCCTACTTCCAATCCTACTTTGGTTTGTCTTTTAAGAAAATCCGTCTATGGATTGAAGCAAGCATCTCGACAGTGGTATGCTAAGATTGATGGAGCTCTCACTTACAAAGGCTACACCAGTTCTTTAAATGACTATTCCTTATTCTATAAAAGGAATGGAGATTTGGTCTCTCTTATAGCAGTTTATGTCGATGACATTTTGATTACAGGTGATGATCAATCAGAAATCAACCATATTATGCACTTTCTCAACACAGAATTCAAGGTTAAACATTTGGGGGATATTCACTATTTCTTGGGTATGGAAGTATTCCGCGAAAAACATGGTTTTATTATCAATCAACGAAAATTCACCTTAGAGCTTCTTCAGGAATTTGATTGTTCGAGTACAACAGTGTCTTCTCCTCTTGATCCATATTCTAAATTACTTGCTGATGACAGTCCTCTTCTCTCTAATTCCACTACAGACATCTTGTGGGCAAACTGAATTACTTAACACATACTAGACCCGATTTATCATTTGCTGTCTTATCACTCAGTTAATATATGCAGCAACCTCGACAATCTCACTTTAATGCAGCTTTTTGTGTCCTATGGTATCTTCGCACAGACCCCAGACAAGGAATTCTTCTCTCATCAGATCCCTCATTTGAGTTGCTGGCTTTCTGCGATGCTGATTGGGCTTCCTGTAGGGATAGCAGACGCTCTGTTAGTAGATATTTCATTACTCTTGGTGGTGCTCCTGTGTCCTGGAAATCGAAGAAACAAGTCTCCATCTCCTTATCCTCTGCGGAGGCGGAATACAGATATATGAGGAGGGTTACTGCTGAAATTACCTGGCTTGTTCGTCTTCTTGCTGATCTTTCAATAACTCCATCTTTACTAATAATTGTCCACTCAAATAGCCAGAAAGCTATTCACATCGCGAAGAACCCTGTTTTCCATGAATGAACGAAACATGTTGAATTAGACTGTCATTTTGTGCGCCAGCAGTTCATTTTTGGTTTGATCACACTATCTTTTGTTCCATCCAGTCAACAGCTTGCCGATATCTTTACCAAACCTTTATCTGGCGACTCCCATCGTTTTGTTCTGAACAAATTGGGGGTTTCATCGGCCTCCAATTTGAGGGGGGATATTGCAGAACCATCATCTTTTTCTTCATCATATTTGAATGAAGGAAGATCTGGAAGATTTGTAAAAGATAGAGAAGAAACAACACACAGGAAGCTTCATGTTTCAGACAAGAGAAATGCTTCCTCGACCAAATCAAAACATAAATATGAAATTAATGTGGAAAAATCATAGCCTTTGTTCAGAGATACAAAGATGGAATCATGGCCATTGGATCAAAAGCAACCTGTACAGAAAAAGAAACCTTCCAAGAAGCTCAACTCACGTGATAAGCATGTGAGGTAATAATTTTGTTATTTTTGTACAGATTAAAGGAGGACATGTGTATGGTTGGTTATTTTATTTTGTTTATTTTTCATTTAATTTTAGTAGTAAATGCTTGTATATATACAGAGTTTTGAATGGAATTCAAAATATCAGAAATTTTTCCAATCTTCTTTGTTCAATCCTTTCGCTCACGTTACATCATATTTTACAATAAGTTATACCATCAATATTACACTTAATATTTTTATAGTGAAATACATATACACCAATACTTCAAATTTAATCTAACAAATTGGACATGCATGGATGACAGGATGAGGCTGAGATTAACCCCCCCCCCCCCACCCCCACTCCTCGGGTCAAATTCTTCCCTCTTTTTCCCCTGCACCCCCAAATTCTTTCCTCTCTTTTCTTCCTTAGTCGACCTGAGATGTTTTTTTTTAAAAAAAATTTCCCACCTTGCAAAATTTCTTTCAAAAAAATATTTCAACTAAATATTGGTCCTAGCTAGTTTTTGAATATCCCTTCAGTAGTTCTGTTTGCGTGGTTTTAAATTAAAATTTCATTTAAATGTGTGGGTCGAATATTTGATATTAGTGTTTGATATGATATAACTTGGTGGGGCGTGCATATTATTTATATAGAACAAAAAAAATGAGTTTGTTTTGCAAAGTTAGATTTTTTTTTATACTTGAATAAAAGATGTTATAAAACTATTTAAATTAAATAATATATGATAAAGGAAAATTTAGTTAAATCATAAATTTTTATGTTGATAATAATTAGGTTAAGAAAATAATTATTAAAAATAAAACAATTTTTTAACACTAAATAAAATAAGAGAAATAAACATAATATTGTAAACAATAATGGAAGTAGTATTACAAAATTAAACTCGAAGGATAGTTTGTGCAATAATCTCTTTTATCTTTTGGCTATAATGATTTTCTAGAAAAAATAGCTTAAGTTGAGTGATTTTATAAAAGAAAATACACAAGTTTAGTGACTTTATTGATATAAAAGCAAGTTGAGTGACTTTCTTAAATAATTTCATATATTTGAATGACCTTTTAAGATATTTGCTCATTTTTAACGTATATACTTATCCTTTTCTAACATCGAGGAACCCCAATACTTTTTTTATGACAATTACTGATATTTAATAGTAACAATCATAAAGTGAGAAAATAAAAATAAGCTTGAAAAGTCTTATAAGAGAAGTGTATATAGGATTATGAGAGGAGAACAAGAGTCATTTGTTTAGTTGAAATAACTATTCCTTCCGTTCCTTTTTACTTGTTTATTTTTAAATTGACATATTTATTAATAAATAACTAATGACATAGTCAATTTACTACTTTATCCCTATTAATTATGAAGTGGATGAAAAATTTTATATTTTTCAAAGTAGTTATTCATTTAATTGAGGGTATAATAAGTAAAAAAATTATTCTTTTTTAATTTTTCAAAATGAATAAATAATTAAGGACAACTATAAAAGAAAAAGTAAAGAAGTAATTGGAATGAAGGGAGTATATAAGGAGACTATGTAGCGTTGTAATTTGAGGCAATGACGAGGGTAGAGAAAATTTGTTACTTACTGTAATTCTTTATAATGCTACGAATATCTTTGGGAAGGTTTTCTTGAAAAATTAATTAGATATGTCACACTTACTACAAACATTTCTTTAGTTATGTATTTGTACGTATTTTTCAACTTGGTCTTTGCTAGTTTGAGTTTGTTTTTTGTCAGCTCAAGATGTTGAATGGTAGGGAGCGGTTCCTCCTTTAATTGAACAACTTGCTTAGTTTTTTTTTAATCCAAATGAAACAAACTTTGTTCAATCTAATGATTTTGTATATGTAGTTCAATTTATATCTTTTGAATTTGAATATTCTTCAAAAGGGCCATCAGAATGTAAGATTCTGACTTTGAAAAGATTATAAGTTGTACTGATCAATTATGGTTCTTCTAAAACTCTATTTCTTAAAAAATATTGGAGTAAATGGACTAGGTGGGGGTGGGTGGGGAATAAGTCAATCATAAGAAGGGAATAAATAATTCTTGTTGCTTCATCTATAATAAGGACTTGTTCAATTTCAAGTATACTGTTTATAATACTATCTTTGCTATGAAATGGTAATATTTTCGCCAGACGAAAAACTTGACCAAGTCCTTAGTCTGCACCTGAAAATATAAAAAACCTGATCGGGAAATGTTGTCATAAGCTGCATATATATCATTATATATTCAGTAGTCTTGCAATCTGATAAAACATTTGTCTAACTATGGCTTCTTTTGCATACCTTGTTTGTCTTTTATTAATAATCCCCTTTGTCAATTCATTGTCCTTCAATTTTGATAGTTTTAACACAAATGATCAGAATTTAACATATGAAGCAGATGCATATCCAGCAAACAGTGTAATTCAGCTCACCAAAAACCAGCGAGATAGTGCTTCAAATGATAGCATAGGCAGAGTCACATATTCAGAAGCTCTCTATCTTTGGGACAAGGCCTCTAGGAATCTCACTGATTTCACAACGCATTTCTCCTTTGGGATCAACTCACAGGGCAGAAATAATTACGCTGACGGTCTTGCCTTCTTCCTTGCTCCTGCAGGTTCAAGAATTCCTGATAACTCAGCCGTAGGAGGCAGCCTTGGCCTTGCAGTTAGTGGTCAACAAAATACATCGAGAAATCACTCTTTTGTTGCTGTGGAGTTTGACACCTTTAAGAACTTTTATGATCCAAAGGGTGATCATGTAGGTGTAGATATCAACTCTATGGTATCTGTTGTTAATGTGACCTGGTTTAGTAGCATTCCAAATGGTAAGAGAACTGATGCCTGGATTACTTATAATTCAACTTCAAAAAATCTTAGTGTTGTCTTCACCGGTTTCCAACAACAAGGTAATACTACACTCACAGTCCTGCAGAACCTATCTTACAATATTGATCTGAGGGAATATTTGCCAGAATGGGTCACTTTTGGCTTCTCAGGTGCAACAGGAACTCTCTTTGCATTACAAACCATATACTCTTGGAATTTTACTTCTTCTTTAAAGCATAATGACAATATAACAGATCCAGATGTGCCCCTACCAAGACCTGTGCCAGAGGATACTTCAAGCAAAAATAAGTCAGGACTAGTGATTGGATTGATTTCTGGCGGTTGTGTTTTGGTAGCACTATCTGTTATAATATTGTTTGCATTTAGGAGAAAGAGGAAGGTGCGAGAAGATGAAGATGAAGATGAAGATGATGATATTATTGATGGTTCCATGACTAATGAATTTGAAAGAAGCACAGGACCAAAGAAGTTTTTGTACAGTGAGTTGGTCAGATGTACAAATAACTTTTCGCGGGAAGAGATGCTTGGCCAGGGCGGGTTCGGAGGTGTTTATAAAGGATATCTCAGTGAATCCAACTCCTATATTGCTGTTAAGAGGGTTTCAAGGGAGTCAAAGCAAGGAATAAAAGAGTATGCATCAGAAGTCAGGATCATCAGCCGGTTAAGACATAAACATTTGGTGCAACTCATTGGTTGGTGCCATCAAAAAAGAGAACTTCTACTTGTCTACGAGTTTATGCCTAATGGAAGCTTAGATTACCATCTTTTCAAAGGAAGAAGCCATTTGACATGGCCAATAAGATTCAAGATTGCTCAAGGTTTGGCCTCAGCGTTGCTTTATCTACACGAAGAATGGGAACAGATTGTGGTTCATAGGGACATAAAGTCCAGCAATATTATGTTGGATTCCAATTTTAATGCTAAACTTGGGGATTTTGGTTTAGCTAGGCTAGTTGACCATGATAAGGAATCCCAAACAACAGTTTTGGCAGGCACGATGGGTTACATGGCTCCTGAATGTGTCACCACTGGCAAAGCTAGCAAGGAAACAGATGTCTATAGCTTTGGTGTTGTCGTGTTAGAAATAGGTTGTGGAAGGAAATCTATTGAAAATAAAGCTGAGGAGCATCAAGTAAATATTATCCAATGGGTTTGGAGACTTTATGGGATGGGAAATCTTCGTGAAGCAGTTGATCCTAGACTCTCATCAGAGTTCAATGAAGAGGAGATGGAGCACTTGCTAATTGTTGGCTTATGGTGTTCTCATCCAGATAATAATTGCAGACCTTCTATAAGGCAAGCAATTCAGGTGCTTAATTTAGAAGCTCCGTTGCCCATACTCCCTCCAAACATGCCTGTACCGACATATTGCAGTCGGTCACAATATGGATCAACTACTTCTTTTACATCACCGTATGACTCCAACGCTCCTTGGAATTCTGAAATACAGTCTTCAGTGACTAGAGACTACACTGGTTCTTCAAATAACACAGCAGCTTCTGCATCATCTTCGCCTTCAGCATCACTTCTGTACACATGTTGATATTCTCTTATAAACGAACTGGTCTTTCATTTCCCTGCAGTCAATCTTTCAATTTTTGCTTTTAGTATTCTTTATTATTTTTTCTGTAATGAAGTAGATTGAATGAATCAACAACTCTTTTTAAAAGTTTAAATAAAATAGTTTAAATACTCTGTACTTAAATACATGTTTCTCGAGCCATCATTGATAGATTCGAAGTAGGATTAGAAGTTGAATTTGAGGGAAGAAGGAATCTTTTGGTGAGCTTGTAGTTGTTGCGGATCTGTGTTTGAAAAATCAGAATTACTGATTCTAATTAATTTTGCAGATACACAGAGTAATCAAAATTTACTAAACCAGTAAGAAAGATGAACAAAAAATTTAATTCACATAAAACTAAAATCTGTAAAACATACCAGTATCTGGAGAAATATTAACATGAAAACGATCAAGTCCATTGAACTCACAATATCCCCTTAAGGAAATCATTCCCCTCTAGTATCCGAGGTTTGATTTGGAATATAATCTCCTAAGGTAAAATGATCTCAATCACCAAAGTATAGACACAAAAAAACTCTGGTGTCAGCGAACCAGTCAACAGTAGGAAAGTACACGAAGAAAATTTTTTTGTGCAGAAGAAGAAGAAGAAAATCAGAAAATTCGTAAGTGAAAATTCTGAAGAGTGAATGATATTTATAGGCAAGAAGAACAAGTTCCGAAATGTTGCAACCTTTTCAGAATCCATACGACCATTAAGGAAAGTTTGTAGCCTTTCAAATGGTACTGATTGTTCCTGAAAGTTGCAACCTTTCAGAACAGTCATGACGGGAAATTTAAATAATACGGAAAAGTTTTTAAATCAAACGGGTGGCGCACAGATCCGAGTCGGATTTGGTTAATCAACTAAAAAGTTGAAAAGTTTCAATTAATTTCAAGTAAATAACTGAAAACATTTTTGTTATCAACTAATTGATTGAAAAATATTTTGGTCATTTAATTAATTAAATAAATAATTAAATAATTAAAACAAACTTTGTCCAAAAAATAATCTCTCGATCATTTTCCAAAGTCGAAGCTGAAGCTGAGCCGAGCGAGTGACAATGACAATGGCGCGAGGGGGTCCCTCTTTCCAACCCTTTTAACAATTAATAGGAGTGTATCTATATTTAAACTCTCTTATTTTTCTTTCAACCACCGATGAGGGACAAATGCCTTTTCATTAAAGCATAAGAGGACTTTCAAGTTCCCAACTCTTCAAGTTCCCAACTCTTCAAGTTCTCAACTTTCAAGTTCCTCTCTTTCCCTCTATTTTCTATCAGTTCTTGCTACATACCCAACAATCCCCCACATTGATGGGGAATGGTTATAACATAAGAATGCACGGACAATTGTATACTTTACAGGCAAAGATTAATTGCATCTGGATAAGTAGGTTTCCCCTTGGACTTTTCGTAGTGAACATATGCCAGATATACTCGGTCAGTTGGTAGATGCGATATTTTTGAACCGTCAAACTTTGATGTATAACTAGACAACCATACAATTAACCCTTTACTGTTTATGCTTCTTACGGTTGTGTTCGTTTCAGCCATGAACACTTCCTGGTTTCATGAGTGTATAGAGAATAGACTTTTGACATAAAATTCTCTTTTTGAAGCGGCTTGCACTTCACACACGCATAGGTAATTTCTAACAGTGTCATCTTGTAGAAATTGGTCAAATCTACAAAACTTAGCAAATCATTAAAAACTTTAAGCTTTATTACTTCATTAACAAGCCTTAAAGTCTTAACCTTGTTCCTGAACATTGTCTTCATCATGAGAATAAATTGAGTTAATTGACAATGTCGAACCGTCAGCCACAACTTTATTTTTTGCTTTGAATCTAGATCTTGGGATTTCCAGTCAGCTAGATAGAGTTACTGTCATGTTGACTTGTCCTAGGCCGTAAATCCATTCCTTAGATAATCTTTCAACTGCGTCTCTCACTAGGCCTTTCGTAAGTGGATTTAACACATTATCGCTTGACTTAACATAGTCAATTGTGATAATTCCACTAGAGAGCAGTTGTCTTACGATGTTATGTCTCCATCGTATATGACGAGACTTTCCGTTGTACATGACGCTCCCTGCCCTACCTATTGCTGCTTGACTATCACAATGTATGCAAATAGGTCCAACAGGTTTAGGACAAAAGGGAATATCCTCTATGAAATTCCGAAGTCATTCTGCTTCTTCACCAGCATTATCCAAAGCAATGAATTCAGATTCCATTGTGGAGCGAGCAATACATATCAGTTTGGACTATTTCCAAGAGATTGCTCCGTGGATTTTAGTTCATTTGATCCGGTGATCCAATTTGCATCACTATATCCTTCAATCACAACATGATAATTATTATAATGCAAAGCATAGTGTTGTGTATATTTTAGATACCCCAACATGATATTTATTATAATGCAAAGTAGAGTGTTGTGTGAGTTTGATTTGTATTACTAGTGAAACGACTCAGTTTGCTAATCGCATATGCTATATCTGGTCGCGTACAATTCATAATATACATCAAATTTCTCAATACTCTGGCATATTTCAATTGAGAGTCACTTTGACCTTCATTCTTTTTAAATGTACAACTTAAATCAATTGGAGTTTTGACAACATTGAAATTCAAATACTTGAACTTCTCCAATACTCTTTCAATATAATGAGATTGAGATAATGCTAGTCCATGGAGAGTTTTGATAATCCTGACCCCTAAGATCAAATTAACAACTCCTAAGTGCTTCATATAGAACTTGCTGGACAACATGCGGTTAGTAGCATTTATATCATCAATATATTTACTCATTATTAACATGTCATCAACATAAAAACAAACAATGACTTCATGATTCATAATGTTTTTAGTGTAAAGACATTTATCAAATTTGATAATCTTGAATACATTTGCCAACATTGTTTGGTTAAATTTAGCATGCCATTGTTTGGGTGTTTGCTTGAGTCCATAAAGTGACTTCACAAGTCTACACACTTTCTTTTTTTTACTAGGAACTACAAATCCTTCAGCTCCATGTAAATTTCTTCCTCCAATTCTCCATTTAAGAAAGGCTGTCTTTACATCCATTTGGTGGATTTTATGATCACGCACTGCTGCTAGTGCTATTAACATCCTAATTGATGTTATTCTTGTTACTGGAGAGTATGTGTCAAAATAGTCTAGACCTTCATTTTCTTTGTACCCTTTGACTACTAGTCTAGCCTTATATTTGTCAATAGTCTCATAAGGTTTCATTTTACTTTTAAAGATCCACTTTGATCCCGAAGGTTTACTTCTTGGAGGAAGATCAGCCAATTTCCAAGTGTGATTACTTCAAATTGATTCAATCTCACTATTGACTGCTTCTTCTCAATAAGTGACTCAGTCGAAGACATAGCTGCTTTAAATGTTTGAGGCTCATTTTCAAGCAATAGTGCTACAAAATCTGGTCTGAAAGAAGCTGGTTTCCGTTGACGAGTATTATGCTTAGGATCCTCACTAGTTAGAGTATTTTCCATTGATTCTTCTCGTGAAAGTTTAGATCTTTCACTTGTTGACTCACATTCAGTTTTATACGGATAAATATTTAAAAAAAACTCTGCGTTGTCTGACTCAATTATCGTATTAACATGAATCACAGATTATCAGTTTCGTGAACCAAAAACCGACACATTTTACTGTTCACATCATATGCAATAAATACACAGTCTCCTATTTTGGTTCCAATTTCAACCCTCTTCGATAAAGGAACCTCTACCTTGTCTAAACACCCCACATTTAGACATATTTCAAGTTAGATTTCTTTCCTCTCCACAACTCATATAAAATTGATTGTATTTTTCGACAGGGTACCCAATTGAGTATCTTATTTACCGTAAGGATGACTTCTCCCCAAAGGTTTCCTGGTGAAACAAAATTGATCATCAAGGCATTCATCATTTTCTTTAATGTTCTGTTCTTGCGTTCCGCCAAACCATTTGACTGTGGTGTATAAGGTGCAGTAGTTTGATGAATAATATCTCTGCAAAAGGAGATTCATATTCTCCACCCCGATCACTCCGAATTATTTTTATCTTTAGATTCAATTGGTTCTCCACTTCATTTTTGTATTGCTTAAATGCATCGATTGCTTCATCCCTACTATTAAGCAAATATACATAAAAAAATTGAGTGTAATCGTCAATAATATTTGACACCCGATTTTGACCCACCTTTAACCATTTTGAGGAATACTATTCGATTAAATACGTATTTTAAAATTTATTTGAAGTATGGAATTTTTAGTGGATTTTGATATAAAATTATATATTTTAGTATGTTTTACTTTATAAAATTATCCTAAATATTATTAAAATATTTTAAAATTATTAATGAATTTCAAATGTTTTAAAATTCAAATAATTTTCAATTATATAAAAAATATTTTAATGTGTGTAGTATTTTAATTAAATAGTAATTACTACACTTTCCTTAAAATTATTTAAATTCTATCTTATTCTATTATAATTTTTTTCAATTCTAGCCACTCCAATTAAATTTTATTTCAATCATAGCCCCTCTTTCATTCCAATTCTAGCCAAATTTTATTGCAATTTGAGCCATTTCATATCCAACAAAATCTGATTTTTAAATGTCATCTTTTAATCTCATTCACCCGTTTAAATAAATAAATCCTAGCCCTTTATCTCTTATTAAATCAACGGTTGTGAGTAAATTTTCTTTTCAACCTGATTTCAAGACTAAAAAATCAAAACCTAATATTTTCTCTTCTTCTCCCTTCTCCATCTCCAGCAGCTGCCCCTCCCTCTCTTCCCTCTATTTTTCCAGCGAAAGCTGCCAGAGACAGTCACTTTCCTCTCCCCCGACGCCTCTCTCCTCTCGCCTTCCTCTCCGCCCCTCTCTATCCCTCGCGTTTCTCCACCTCTGTTTCGCCTCTCTTCCTCTCCCTATCTCTTTCCCCATCTGTTTTCCGGCGAACGCTGCTG